TAAAGGCTTTCATAAGCAGCCTAGAGAAAGTCAAAATGTTGCCACAAAATCTTCCTACATGTATGCCATATCTATTACAGTCCTAGAATAACCCAAATTACGGGCAACTCTTAACTCGATTCTTGATAATTCCTTGATGATAGTTTGTCAAGGTGTCAACCCAAAAGAAAACCCAAGCAGGCCAATCGACACGTGGGAAAATTCTTTCTCTGTAGTTGAATAAAGCACAAATAACTTGTGCTCGACTTTTTCTTTCACTTTCTATTTTGCAATGAATCGAAAATGTTGAAATAAATTTCGATTTTCTATGTGTGCGTGTTTTGGGTGCAAAGAAAAAAAACAACGTATAAACGCTATCGGATACCCTGTAAAATAACAATAGCTTGGCTTAAGATTAGCGTTGGGAAGGTTCTGCTTTAAAGTTATATTTTTATTATAAAAGAAAGGTTTAAGTAGACCTGAATTTAAGATCTTTGATCAATTGAAAATAATGTAAATTCTTTTAAAATTCTAGTTACCTTTTTCTTCGCGTAAATACATATGTCCCTGCATTTATCTAGATACCGTATATCCCCACACCCATTAAACCCTTTTGCAATGCTGGATATAGAATTGGAGCGGAAACCCGTGCCAAAGGCAAACAACCAAAAAGGGCAACAACAAAAGGCAACTTTATTAGTTTTATTTTCTGTTAGTTCCAGCATAGATCCCAACATCAGGCCCAGGTACCCTCCCTTCAGTCCCCCTCAACACGTCGTCCCCCTGACGGACAGCGCCGCCAGCTTGTCTTGGCTCCGCTTTCAAGCACTTGGCTACATTTTCATTACATGTCCGCGCTCTCCCCTCTCCCCCTCCTCTTCTCTCTCAGCTGCTGCCAAAAGAAAAGTAATTTTCAGCTTGAAAAACTGGAGCGCAATATTTGCAAAGGTTTGAAAATTGGGCACCCGTTTTGGCAGGTGCGATACTTCAGATTCAGATTCCATACATATAGACATTGCAAATTGTCGGTCGATCGATTTAAGCCCAAGAAAACGCACGCGAAACGCGTGCGTTTAAAGCAGCGCGCGTTCACAACTTGCCCCAAATGGGAAGGGCGTGGAACGAAACGGAATGGAATAACGCCTTGCTTCGATTTTAACATGAAGCCCATTAAATGACGAATCGACAAAATGCACAAAGAGCAGAAGTAGAAGAGCGCAGAAAAAATGGAGTGCGCGAATGGAGAGCGGAAAAGCGAGATAATTTAAGGTGAATGCCATTGATTGAAGCTGATTGGCATGATTGAACGCCAATCAGCGCTTTAACGGCAAAGAGAAGGGGAAAATCAAGAGTACATACATTATAATAATTAAATATGTATGTACATTTATTTTTAATACAGATTTAAATTTGCATTGATACTCTTTAAATGCATTAAATGCAAAATGACAACGTTCGATGGCGCCCCTCTCTCTCTCTCTCTCTCTCTATCTCTAACAAGACCATAGATAGAACAGCGTATGCGAAGGGTTGCCACCTGACAAAAAATATCTATTGTACCAAATAAAATGTTAAAAATTGCATTTACATTTTATGAATACTTTCGAAAATACGTATAAACTGTTTCAAGAATCAAAAGCAAAATCTTATAAAAATGTTACTCCTTTTTACGAATTATACAACATTTGTCCCTGTCGTCCTAGATATTGTGATTGATATGTGTAACAGATTATAACTATGAGATGGTAGCTCATTTAACTACAATGTGGAACTATTTAACATGATTGTTGATCAAAATGAAATTTAGTAGACATGGTCTACAACTTTTCTATTTATTGCATCTAATGCTACCTAAACTCAGGCACAAATTTGCATTCGCGTTTAACTGTACAATTGTAAATGTCTGGCAACTTTCCGTAAACTTCATTTGATGTCTGGTCGCTGCTATCTTCTCTTTCCTTCCCCAACCCCGCCCCCCACCCCTTCCCCATCCGCAGTTACTATTTTGTTTCTTTTTTCTGTCTTCCTTTTACATTTTTGAGCTTGCAGCTACTATCGCTCTCGCTCTCTTGACCTCTCGCTTACTCTCTCTTTCTCTCTCTCGAGCTGCTTATTTTTAACGGCATTTTTTTTTGCTTTGCTTTCATTTATTTCTTTATAACAATAATACAACAACAATACGTTTCAGACTTGTTGATGTTGTTGTTGTTTTTGTTTTTGCTGCGAGTTCATTCAACTGTCAAAATAAAGCAATACAAACAATTAAAAAGAGCCACACACACACACACACACACACACTCAATGTGCATAGAAAATGAAATAAAATGAAAAGTAGCTGCTGCAACAACAATCATAAATATATATATGTGTGTGTATTTACACACACACACACACACACACACATGTATTTATATCAGTGAGCTTTGCCTTTTGAATGGCTTTGCTATTGTTTCTCGCATTCCCTCTGCTTTTGGTCTCTTCTCTTTTCGTTTCGTTTTCGACTTTTTCGTTTGGTCTTCTCACGCTCGCCCGCCCGCCCGCCCGCTGTCAACCATGCTTTATGCATTGCATCTAAATTTAACTTTAAATTCTAAACAGTCAACAACATTTTGCAGCAGGCAGAGATTTGACCTGCCCCCCGCCCTCCCTCTATTCGGCATATGCAGCTTTCGTTGTTTTTTGGTCTTTTACATTTTGCTTTCTATTTTCGTTGCATATATATGGTATATATATGTATATATTACGGCATTGTTGCCTGCTTTTGAGTTCACGTTAGACCTCCAAAATGCTTAAGAGATACAGCAAAACTATTTTTGTATCCCATAGATACTTTAATGGCCAGATAGTATCTCGAAAGCAACAAAAGATACTCGCACATGGCGCAGTATTTTATATTTTTGGGGCGTGTAAACATTGATATAAATGAATACATTTTGGAAAGGAATAAGATAATCTAAGAATGAAATGCATTTAAACTTTTACTAAACGAAATTCGCTTTGAGTATTTTTCTTTTAATGTTAATATTTCCGTTGACCAACACTGCACACGCCCTTTGAGTATGATGGCAACGCTGTGGGAAAAATCAGCTGTTTTTGTTTACGTTTTAATTTGAATTGATATTTAAAGGGTGTGAGGCCTCTGATTTTTATATTTATAGAATTCTATTTAATAAAATTCGACCTTATTCTTCTTGAACCAAACTATAAACTGAGCAACGATCCAAATACTATGAAATACAAATAAATATATATATTTTTTACACAGTTTTACACTGTTCAACAAATTTTAGTAGGCGAACATCTCCATCCAAAGTTTAGTTAAAGTTCTCTAGGTTTTTATGGTTTACAGGGTATCGGCAAAACGGTACTTTGCACATGTGCGTTTCTAGCTAATGTCTAGCGTATGCTCGTTGCTGCTGATGAGTCGCTGAAGCAAATGCAGCGAAGCGCGCAGAGACCGCGCTGCATCACAAAAGCAAAGCAACATAACAACAAACAACAACCACAAGAGGAGCATGCAACAAAGACAACGATTGCCGCAAGCGCAAGCACACAAACACACCCACAAGCACAAGCACAAGCGCAAGCACAAACACAAACGCAAGCACACAAAGAAGGAGACAGAATGGAGGCAGCGAGCGCAACTGAAGTCGCTGTCGCTGCCGCTGCTTCTGCTGCTGACGCTGACTGAGGCCGTTGTCTGTTTTTGGTATGTATCCAACGCTGCATCGACAGCAGCAGCGGCAGCAGCGGTGGCAGCAGCAGCGGCAGCAGCAGCAGTAACAACAACAAAACAGAGCAACTTATTTTTGTTTAGCTGCCACGTTTTTTACGCTCTCTTTTGTTGTTTTTCGTATTTTTTCTTTTTCATATATGTATATATATATATTTTTTTTGTTTGCCTGCTTCTTTGGAGTTTGCTTTTGTGCTTTGTACGCTTTTTTTTTGTGGATTTCTCTTTCGGCATGGAATTTTGCAGCCGCAGCAACAAAGCAAAAGCCACCTAAAACGGAAAGAGAAATGAATTAAGCTGAAGGCTTTTTAGAAGCAATCGCCGCCAACTGCTGCTGCGTGGGCCGCATAAGCAGAGCGAAGAGACAAACCAAGAAAATACAAAGCAAACAAAAAAAGTCATAGATACAAAAATCAACGAATTGCAAGCGCAGTTTAATTGGCAGGCGGCGACTGCAGACGGCGGCGGTCAAGCAGCATAAATGGAATGGCCAATTGCCACGCATGTGTGTGTGTGTGTGTGTGCGTGTGTGTGTGTGTGCTGTGAGCAAGTCTAACTAGTTGGCATAATTGTTTTGTTTTGTTTGTTTTTTGTTTTGTTACTTGTTTTGTGCTTTAATTGGATTTCTTGTATGATTGACAGCATAACAGAACTTTTTTGATGTTGCAATCTTACTTTTGCCTTTTTTGCATCAAATCAAATGCGGTCACATTGCAGCGAAATATATATATATATATATATACAGTGTTGAGCAATTACACCTCGTCAAGGTCTGATCCGCTTCCGCCTATTATCCCCCGTTGCTCTTATATCAATCACAACCACAACAAAGTGAGAAGAAAAAAAAAAACAACTACAAAAAGAACAAGTAGGCTTATTTCCGCTCCACTGTGATCGACAGTTAGCAACTACACACATACATACATACATATGTATATACATGTAATGCATAGGCAATGCAGAAAAAAAAAAGCCGCTCGCTGATACGTCGCATACGAAAAAAATAAACATACATATGTAAAACAGAGAGAGAGAGCGAGAGCACATACGCTCTTCGCTGGGTGGTGGTACTCACATTTCACGCCGCCCTCGACCGATCACCGTTAACTGCCTATCTACTGGGCGCTCTCTTCGTCTCCAATATGTTTGTTACTTGATCAAAGTCTTTAGTGCTTCTTCCATTCGTTGTTACTGTTATGTGACATTTTAGGCGCGCTAAATACGCCGTGTTGTTGTTGTTGTTGTAGTTAAGGAAGACAAAAATACAAATCGGCGAAACCTCAGTTTGTTTTGGTGTTTGTGGCCCACTGTTTGGGTCTTAAATTATATTTGCTTCGTTGTTGTCGTTGTGTTTGATATTTAGCATGCGCTGCAAAAAATACACATTATTGAACAACTTTGTATTTGAGAAACGAATAATTACAGATATTCTTCGCGATAAAACACTTTTCAGCTGCTGCTTTTGTAAATACATATATACGCACTCACACATGCATGTATACGCACACAAGACCCGCGCACTCACGTACACAACGAGGACGGCGGCAACCGCTTCTTCTTCTTCTTCTACTTCTTGCTCTTTATTTCATGCACTTATTGAACAACAGACGTAGCAGCCTCTTATTTATTTTCTAGCTGCATATATTTGATAAACTTTTTGTGTAATTTCTATTTTAATTTGTTGTAAATTTCATTTTGAACTCGAAACACACAGCCACATAACAGACAAACACACACATAACACACACACACACACACACACACACGCGTGCCGACTCCGAATATTTTTCTTTCTTTAAGCCATTTTCGTCGTCACATTTACAGCAAGAAGCACAAGCAATTTAGATGCTCCGCTTCTCTTTCACACGGCTACGCGGCTATATGGGCACTGATTTGCCGACTCGCTCTATCGCGTGCACTGCATACAAACACTCACGTAATTAAACTTATGTATTTTGCTTATTAAAGCATTCGCCTGCCATTCCGCACGTTGTGTATGTATGTCAAACCCACTGCACTTGTGTATTGAATGCAATTTGTTGCATAATTCAGAACAAAATACATGTGTAATGTATAATTAGGTATTTTTTTCTTAAGCCAAGTTAAATACACACACGCGCAGCGGCAGTACACGTCCGTACCGTTCAAGCGAGAGCGAGAAACAATACACAAAAGAAAATGTGAAAAAGAGACACGGCTTGCAGTGTGACCGTGCATGTCAAGACTTATATTGGCAAAATATGCACACATAAATACCAGTTTGTTATTGAACTAAACAAGTACGAAATTCTAATTCTGAGGTTATTGAAAATATAAATTCAAAAAAAAACTTCATTAGAATCGCCTAGATTTTTTAAACATTCTGTAATTTTTCTAAATTTGTTTTTATAAATATCTGTTTCATAGCAGCCAGGTTTTGTTGTGGTTACTCTAAAGATTTTACAACACTGACACTGTTTTGCACTAACAGCGTTGTATGTCGATTACTCATTTAACAACATCGATAGATTAACATAGTAATTAGTGTGTGTTGATTTTTAGTAGTGAGAGGAGCTCGCGTTGCGGACTGCATTGTTTAAATGCATAACTAATTTTGGCACTCAGTTAAAGTGCACCAACTAAACATAAAATAAAGATTAATAACCGACGCGCAGTGCCGCCAAGACTGTAGCGACCTGTAATTCAAAATTGTATGTGCCACTTACAATGGGAATCGTGCGGCAGATTTTGTGATGCGCACAGAGCGCAACTTGGAGCGCAAAGAAAACGGCCAAAAAAGGTTGCAAATGAAATTAAAGACGAAAATCTAATACACAAGTGAAAATTGAAAAAGGTGGCAATATATAATTGAGTGCATGTACAATATATGCATATATATTGTTCATATGTATACATATATAGCTGTACATGCGTGTATACACATACATGCATATGGATAATTTAGTTCTGTGCGTTTGAGTCTGTGTGTGTGTGTGTGCGTGTTCATGTGCCAAACAAAAAAGGGCGTCACAAAAGAAATTTGTTGCAACCAAAGCCAATTCAACACTAAAATCGAGACCCTAACGGACCGAAGGTGAGTGAGTGCCGAATATTGTTTATTGTCGCTTATTTTCGTGTTGTAGCTTAAATATACACACCTACACACGCACACGCAGCCAAACATGTTTTGTACCTTGCACGCAACGGTCTTATTCAAGTGCGTGTCTGTGTGTGTGTGTGTATTGGTTTATTTTTTATGTTCAGTGCATTTTTTATCGCTACCAGATCTCTGCTCTCGCGTCAAAAGTCTCGCTCTCCCTCTCTTTCATACACTCTGCAACGCTCGTACAATGGCTCGCAATTACAGTTAATAACAACTTCAATTTAATTCATTACAATAGAGAAATGCAACAGTCCGCGCTCTCAGTTTGGACAATCGGCTTCGTTGAGTGGCTCTCAGACCATCGTCAAATTCAATTAGCTGCACTTGCCACTCTCCATGTGAGTGAAACCGGTGCAGACATATGTGAAGCTGTTAGAGTAAATAGTGCACAGATATGTGAAGCTGACCGCCTGCTGTTCATCTCAAGTCGGTATTCTTTTGATTTCTCTTTCGCCGTTGTCGTCGTTGTGTTGTTGTTGTTGCTGCTGTTTTTGGAGCCAGGCACCGTTTGATCTACAACAATAACAACATCAACAATCGCAGGCTATGTCTGCAATTGAATTAAATTAAAAAAAAAAAAAAATAAGTGACAAGTGACGAGAATTATTTACTGTTTTGTATATTGTTGTAGCTGTCGCTATTTGCGGCTGCTATTTCTGTTCAATTTTCGTATACTTTTTTTAAATTAATTTATACATACATAGTACACACACACACACATGCATATGCTGCTTATCTCTTCATCTCAACTAATCCCATGCATTCATTTGTCGCTTCTCGCCTGACAACTGATGAAATTATTTATGATGCTCTACCTTCTCTCTCTCCTTAGCATTAAACATGATTCGTATGTTGTGCGTGTGGGTGTTGGTTTTTTTTTTTTTTATTGAACAAAATATGGTTTATTTTATATACATATGCGCTCCTCTGACATTTATTCGATTTGAATAATTTCGTTGCTAAGAGCTCTGCAGCTGATGTAGACTTGAATGTGGTATACACAGACACATACATGTATATGTGTATACATACATATGCGTCAGATTTTTAAGTACGTGACGTCACAAATGCGTATGAAGTAACTGAAATGAATATTCAATCCGCAGCCGTAAATACTCTTATAGAATATTTTTATGGCTTTTCCGAAAATCTACGCATTTTCAGGAAAAGTTTGACTAAATCTAGACCGACTGGCTGTTTCCCTATAAAAAGTTAATTTTCTCTTAAAACAACAACTTTAAAAAGGCACATTTTAAATCAAATTAAAAAAAAACTAGTACAGTTTAAAATTAGAAGCATAAACAGTTAATTAGCCGCTTTCTAAGCGATTAGTTCCTTATCCAATTTGGCTTGAATTTTCGACATGGTCAATAGCCATGTGAAGTGAATAACCCGCTTCGTGCAAATCTAATCGTTAGAGCTTATCTCTCGATGTGACCAGCTTAGTAACAACTATAAAATACCCTTTTCCTTTTTAGACTGTGGTGTGAACATGTTTAGCTTAAGAACCGAATGTGGCCAAAATCAATAAATGCAAATATTCCAATAAAAGTGCTCGACTAAAATTATAGATTTTGGTATTTTAATATGTTCTTTTTTTATCAAAGCCAATAATTTGTTAATAAAAAATCCAAAAAATAATACTTCTATGTTATCGACTACTGATACCCTCTACCATTCCAGAAAGAACAAGTTTGACAAATTTTAAATTTAATTTTATCAAAGGCAATTATTTGTTTTAAAAATTGCAAAAATAATACTTAAGTGTGCTCGACTAGCTGAAACTTTTTAAGTTTCCAACTATTTAAATATACAAATATTAATTAAAAATACTTGAATAAATACGTAACACTTAACTTGAACCGGCGCCTGGTTGCCAGGTCGCGTTTTAGTTGATATGTTTTTATTATGTTTTATTTGTTAGGTTGGGGCAGCTCTCTCTCTCGCTCTCTCTCTCTCTTTTGCTCTCTGTCTTTAAGTACCCCCCCATTCTGTTTTTGTTTTGGGCACACGCCCAACAACGTTGCGGAAAACATGGCCAATATGTGTGCGCTATAAAAATAAACAACCAAAAACAAACACAACAACAAAATCAACAACAACAACAACAACAACCAAATACAAATGCTAAAGACAAAACCAATTTAATGGTTCGAAAAGTTCAAGAACAAAAGCAGCAGAAAAAACATCGTCGCTTTATTTCATTTTTGGCAAACACAAAAGTTGCGCAAAAACACACAAAAAGAAAAAAGAGCAGAAAAAAAGTGAAGTTTAATTAATTAGGTATGCAAATATTTGCGTGATATTTGGTGCTTTGTTTGGTTTTATGCTCTGATTATATTGCATATTGCATGATATAATATGGTTAGCACGAGGCTTACAAATTAAATATGTGCCTATAAACTCAATCTGAGGGCGTAGCCCATATATAATTCGGCAAAATTTTTGTTTAAAGCCCAACTGAGTTTTCTAATAAGTTGACAATATCTTCAGTAAAGTTAAACATTTCAAATTAATATATATTATATATTCATGTACTTGCCCAATCGGTAGTCGAAATCAAACTGGAAAAAGTTATATGTAAAGGGCAAAATCTGGATCGATTATTTAAGCGTTTATGATTCAAGTGTAAATAATATGCGGGTACATTATTGTGTGCCTGCATATTTTTGTAAATTGAAAAAAGAAACATTACGTATGACTGAGTACAAATAATAAATTGTAATTAGTTGCTCTTTTGTAAAGTTGGTGAAGGAAATTTGAAGAAATTTGTATGGAAAAAGTCGCCTCATAATAGAAATAAGGAATCCAAGAGGAAATCCAAGATTTGGGCTAGCGAAATAAACATTGAAATAAGTATAACTTTACTATACTTAGATAAAGTTAAGGATTCCTAATATATTAATATATTATATATTATATATTAATAACAAGTAAGAGGCTCTAGTCGCAAGTTCCCGACAAATTTGATGACTCTAGCTAAGAGATTTGCTCCAAGAACTTATCGATTGGAAACGGATCATGTTATCGATTATCGATCTCTAGACTCTAGGACAAACTGACTGACGGACATGGCTAGAAATACTGGTTGATCAATAGTTACATACATTTGCAAAAATACATTATACAGGGTATAAATATATATAAATATATATATATATAGTTTTTAAGACTTCAAATTTCGTCCATAAGTCCATAAATGTTAATTGAATGTGCAAGTTAAAAAAAAATTGATGACTAATGCATATTATAATAAAAATCTTAATATATAGCAAAAATGTATATTATACATAAAATATTGAGCTCGGTTCTATATTTTGTTCCTGGAGACTTTTTAATGACTCCAATAGGTGTTTCCAGTTCCTGATATATATGATATGTATATGCATATATGTACGCGTAGTGTCTATAGTTGTTTCATGTTCCTGCTGTAAATATATTTATATTATCTACTGTCTTTGTGACTCATCAACGCACAAAATTCTCACATAGCTGGCGAGTAGAAAACGCGCAAATTGTACAAACGACGTTTGGCCGTCAACGTGTGGATGACCAAATCTGACACTGACCTTATAAGTAACAGCAACAACAAAAGCAACAACAACAACAACATAAACAACAACAGCAACAACAACGCGAACTGACAGCTGCTGTTCCACTCAACTTAAACAACTTCCGTTGCTTATTTGTGCACTCAAACAAATTGCAAAAATATTGTAAAAAATTGTAAAATTGTTTGAAGTAAAACACACACACACACACACACGAGCAACAACAGCTGCAATTACAACAACAACAGCAACAATAACAATTTTTCACTTTCACCCATCTGCAATAGACAAAGGGGTCGCCGCTGTTGGCAACTAAATTTGTTTTGAAGGGGAAGCGGCACACTCTGTCCGTCTGTCAGTTTGTCAATCAACAATTCAATCTTTTGATATTCGCACACAACACGCATTAGCATTAATTAAAAGCCAAATTAAAAGTAAAATGTATAAAATCAAACTTTAAATTCACCTTTGCTGTTATAACTAATGAAAATTGTCAATAAAATGCAAAATTAATAACAAGTGTAAATGTTTTTTGCAACATTATCGCTTTAATATCGCATTCGTATCTTCCACTGAATTGAACCGGCTCACTTTTTCAATATATCAGGCGGCGAGTAAGACTTTCGCCTGGGGGATACATTGACGATAAACATCTTGACTTATCTCTGGGCTGTCTGATTTTAAATAATATAATATATATGCCACAGTTTTTGTTAACATCTTTCATTTCATTTACAATTTGTAGCTTAATTTTAAGCATTTTGTTGTTCAAGATTAATTATTAAATTTTGCAAATTGCAATTCATACAGACGCAGGCACTTGAGATTAATGAATACACACAGTAATAAAATATGAAAAAATAAATTGGTTAAATGATATTCGCATTTAGATATGTAACTTTTTAGCATATAACTTTCACTGCGATCTTCGTAGATATTCGCCAAATCTTATCAACATGGGAATACACTTTATCTAATAGCATAAGAGCTTACGAGCTTAGCTCTTCTCACATATCTGCAAATGGAAAATATCTAATAGGGTATTAAATATTCGGTATGCCGAAGATATTGCAACTTACTCACGCTTTAAATTAAAGTAAAGGCAGCAGAAATGAATGCAAGAATATGAGAACAAAAAGGAGAACAGCAAGCAGAAATATTTAACCGCGGCGCCTTATTCACATGATTCGTCATAATTCAACAGCTTCCAATTTTTTTTTTTGGGGTCCAATGTTCACAAAGCGATTTTTGGTTTCGCTTTCGGAGCCCCCCATTGGAGGAGGCAGGCGAGATACGGCAATTGGCAGCAGCTCCAGCGTGTTGCTTTGCATTTGCTTTGTTTACGAATTGGTTTTGCCAAAACGAGCATAATAGCCATAATATGCATGCATGTTTATATAAATATAAATATTGATAAAAAGAATAAAGATTAACAGCAATGCGAAAAAGCCGCAAAACTTCGTCGTGTTGTTATTTTTTTTTTTTTTTTGATTTTCCGGTTTGTTTTTTATTATTTGTTTTTGTTTGTATTTCATGCACGTTGTCGTCAAAGTAGCTGAAAATATCGCTTTGCATTTATTTGTTTAGTTATTTATGTATATTTACATTTTAGTCATGCGACGGGGCGTCGCTGCGGCGTCACTCATTGAGCACATTGAGCATTCGTTGTAAATATGTAAAACAGGTTGATATTTGTGCGATGAATGCGCCTTTATATTTCTATATAGCATGCATATATAGATTGGTTGAATCAGCAAAAACGAAGCTGACACCGCGAATGGGGCGTCTTGTTTTCGGGGGAAATTTGATGATAATTTGCGAGATATTTATAAAATTATGCTTCAATTGTGTGCACAAATGACAAAATATTAACATGCCTACCAGATATACCGATATTTGTTGAACAGTTTTTCGCCGGAATTATGCATATGCAAAATATTTAAGCACTTTCCGAGAATATTTTAATGACTGTCTGTGATTAAAACTAATCACAATCTAATCTGTCCGCGCTATATATATGTTATTGTTTTTTTCGACTTTTATACAAATTAATAAACGCTATATCGAGCTTTGCGGAGTAACGTTTATTCATAAATATTTATTATATGTAAACAACATTTAAAACATTTTTAAAGAAAGTGATTACAAATATGTAAAAATTTGTATAACATTTTTGGGATTATCATAATTTAGTTACTTCGTGATATGTATATATTCTTGTTTATATATTTTTTTTTTCGATTTTTTTTTTTTTAGATATTTTTGCCAATGCCGGCATTTATTAGCATTATTCTGCTCTCTCTCTATATATGTATATATGAAAAAAGTGTTATTTATATGGAATGAATTGTTTATCAAGATATTTGAAACAAACTAAAATGTCACATCTACATTAAACACGAACACATCTATATAGTCAAAAATATTAAGGTATTTCAATATAAGTTTCTCAAAAACTGTGCAATTACAATACTAAAACTCTTTTTAAATATATGCAAGAGTCAAATAGCCTAATTCCACTGTCAACATTTCTTAAATTTGTTGCTAATGTGAAATAGGTTGCCTTTACGTTTTCCCACAAGAAACCACATTTTTTACATATGTAAAAAATGTTGGTATTCGCCTTGAGTAGTTCGTTATTTTTGCGAAAATTTGTCAATTTGTGAAAGTATCTTATTCACAAATATTTCAGATAACGAAGAAAATAAGCCTTAATTCTAAGTTGAAAATTTTAAATTATACTCTATTACCAAAGTTTTCAATATTTAAAGATTGCCAAAACTCGCAATTATGTTAGACATATTTTTGATTAAAAATGTGTCATTCAAAATGAAAGAGTAAAATAATAAACAATAGTTTTTTTTTTTTGCCACTTTGCGGTCTAATTGAATGTGTGTCAACAAGATGAATCATCATTTTTAGAAATGGTTCCTCAAACAGCCCAAGCCACGACCGGAGCTCGACTTGAGCTCAAAGTTCAGATTGAATTTCAATTGGTTGTTGTTGTTGTCGTGGACGTGGTCGTGTCAGTTGACAAATGTCGTGACACACAAAGTGTTTCAAAAAGTTATTGACCCGCCTGCCAAATGTCAATTAGGTGATCCGACAGTTGATGATGATGCAATGCGCCTCTTCCTCTTCCATTTAAGGGCGTTGCCGCCGTAATGTCTTATTATTATTATTATTATTATTATTATTATTATTATTATTATTATTATTATTATTATTGTTATTATTATTATTATTATTATTATTATATTATTATTATTATATTATTATTATTATTATTATTATTATTATTATTATTATTATTATTATTATTATTATTATTATTATTATTATTATTATTATTATTATTATTATTATTATTATGATTATTATTATTATTATTATTATTATTATTATTATTATGATTATTATTTTTATTATTATTATTATTATTATTATTGTTATTATTATTATTATTATGATTATTATTATTATTATTATTATTATTATTTATTCAGCTAGTCTGAAAATTGTGTAATTTATTGTGCATACAAACATCCAAAAATGCGACTCTTTGAGCATTGAAATAAACAAAGACAGGCAACGGACTTGACTTGTTGTTGGCCCGACTTTCAAGTGTCGCAAAAATTGTCATTGAGCGTGCTTTAAATCGCCAACAATTGTTTACATACTGGGCTCGGCATGCTTTCAAAACAATTAGCCATAAACGCTAAGCAAATGGGCAATTGGAGGCACCGTGCAGGATGTATCGGGCATAATTGGCACAGTCAAGGTAGCGAAAATCTAAGAGATGAGATGGAGAACAGAAACAGATAATATTAAGGAATGCAGGCTGGCTAAATATTTTTCCAATTTATTGTTTATATACAATTTGTTTACGCACTGAAAATGTGTATCTATGTTTTTTAAATTAATATTCAGCAGGCTTTTTGTTGCCCCTGTTTTCTGTGTTAGCGTTGCGAAGATTAAAATGATTCGCGACATTGAATATGCTTACATTTGTCTTAACGAGTTAGTTTATTATGTATCTAGGAGCCATCGATCTAAACGTAAATTCTAGTGAAAGCAACCTTTTTGTTCGTCTGCTATTTGTTTTATTTATCTCAGCAGATTCTAGCTGTACTTTGCTTGAACACAACATCAAAATCTTATTAGCTTACGGCAACTAAATGTATATGTTTTTTTACGAAGCAACTATCAGAAATAGATTAATAGAAACTAGCCGTACATCTGATATATGTCTGCATGGTTATTGAAATTCTCGAAAGAAAACAATACGCAATTTTAGAAGCTTGTCTTTGTCAGTCATGAGAGTTTGCCAGAATTGAATTCTATTTGTGTGGGTCTTTTGTATAAAAGCGGTTTATGACCATGTTTAGGGCCTGGCCCACACAATTTTGTGTATACACGCTCAATCAAATTATCTGAGAATTTAACCAGATGAGAGTTTCAGTTAGGTTCTGTGTGGGCGTATCAATGCCTGTTCGAACAGTTTCTCTCGCGCAAAACTTTTACAATAAAGCAGAGTACACAGCTATTATGGATATGTGCACGTATATGTATATGTTTATATAGAATCACATATATACCGGAGGTCAAGGTTTAGGAGAGCACGTTCACAAACAAGCATATACCACTGATTTATAGGCAGGCAAGCAAATGACAAGCAAAACACCCACATGGCCAAATGTTTGGCCAGTGGCCGGCACTCATAAACAGCCAAAACGTGCCAACAGTTATGTCCAATGGCCAATTGGAGAGGTTGAAAAACTGCAACATCATCTCGCAGAGCAGCAGCAGCTGGCGCTTTTCTTTTTGTTTTTTTTTTTAGTTTGTGGCACAAACCAATTGTGCTAATAGACCAACAGGGCGAACCGGTTGCCAGCAAAGCAATTGCATTGGATAACTCTCATAGAGGTAATTCTCTAGCTGCTGGTTTGGTCCGGTTTTTGGGCATAGAAAACAAATGCTGCAGAACGCGAGTTCGTTTCTAGTCAATTCTTTTGATGTGTGTTTAACTTTAGTAAGCCTGAATAGTGTGGAAATTAGTAATTTGATTTAAGGAACAATTGAGATCGAAGTTTGCTAATTATGTTTTAACTTGTTTCGATACATTTGAATTTACTACATTCTAAACGTTTCATTGAGCAGCGATGTTAGCATTAAAATGAACAAAATAACTTTTGCTAGTTTATTTAAATTATTGAGGAATTATATTTTAAGAAGTCTGTGTCTTCTGGACGGGAGCACAAGAAGTGCTCAACTATGCTACTGTCTGGTAGTCCCCCCTTCAACATCGGCAAGAAGTGGAGATAGGTATCCCTAGGGGGTTGTCTCTGCTGACGAACCTGTTGAGAGTTTAAGAACCAAGTGCCGATGTTACAGAACTGCATGAGAGCAACTGGTTGATCAGTCCCTCTAGACGGTCATTGACCCTTTTGGTGTTTTAGGTTGGATTGGATCTCAGACGGAATCTTATGAGACGAGCAAAGGTCTTAAATCTGCAGAAAGACAAGCTGATCACTCTGAACTCCTTTCGAGATGTGTGCGAGGTCTTGCTGGATCCTGATTTTAGACATGCATTTGGTATCTCGTTCTCATGGTTCTCAACCAGTTTGCACCTATTCGGTTCTTCGCGAGTGATACTTTTAGACCCTGGGTGCTTAAAGTTTTGAATTTGTTCTTGACCGAGTTGGTATAAGTTTTATGCGATATATCCAATCTTCCGTTGCGTAGAGTTGTGATCAATTTTATGCTGGCTCAAAGTACTTAAGCTTAAGCTCAAATTCAATGTATCTATGGTCCTATATATATTTGCGCGCGAATCCCGATGCAATGTACTGCATCCCACCTCCCGCCCAACCGACCGAGGGGCGCAGTCGTGTAACGTACGACTCGAATCGCGAATAACAAAAATAAAATATACAAACTAAGACTATCGATCTATCTATTTACAAAAACGTATATAATGTAAGAGAAGGTTGTGAGACTATCGCTCGATGAAACCTTATTCACCACATTCGTAACAATAAATAAGAATAACTCTTAGATCAGAAATTACTTGAATACATAAAAAAAAAAAACCCTTTGAATAATAGATAAATGCTGTTGCTACGATTTACTCAATCTACGAGACGTCTTCTTGTATCCTTAGGATTGTTTAAGCTACTGTAGGCATACGGGAATTTGTAGTTACTTCTATTTCAAAGCAGGATTTATGCCATGCTGTTTCTTAAATGTTTTATCTTAAGGTTGTGATAAATGTTGAGCAGTCAGTTATTCTCTGGTTGATGAACTAAGCTTGCTCAGAGTTTTCGAGTTCTTTTCGGTATTTTTTTTACGAATGTCGGATCAGATGCCCTCTTGCATGTAACTAATTTACTTACCTTGTACATTAGTATGGTGCTCCGTCTTCTAGTTCTCCTCAGATGAAAGTTTCCTGGTGTCGTGGATCATGCAAGATGGCAATTGCCTAATCAGAGCTCCAGGCTGCGCTGTTGTTTCGGAACAAAAACAAATACTATGAGTTGTTGTTGCAAAAATGCATATTCGAATGTTACCTTGTGATTTCCTGAACAACAAGAGCTTGTGATATTCTTCCCTTAAGATAACGTCAACTCCGCCTTCGGCCAGGGGATGCAGAAGGGGAGCGAAATATTCTTTATAGGTGTGAAGGCATATCTGCACTGGGCGTGCAAACATCTCCCTCCATCGCTGTCCTATCCGTTACTTCGTCGTCAGATACATCCTCCAATATGTAGTCTGTGCCCACCAAGCGACAAAGCGGCTTTATGTCCTGCGCAATGTTGCCAAACATATAGTTATCCAGCTCTGATCTGTCGGCGGCCACTCGCTTCGAGGTGAGATCCAGAGCAAGCAGCTTACTATCTGCTTCTACATCGGCCGTTGCATCAGCCTTATAAACTTTGATGGTAACCGAACTAACTCCTAAATTAAGCGCACTACAAGCGGCAACGATCGGTGCGAGTGATTCCTTATTTAGAATGATCACCTGATTGGTGGCACCGTGCACCTCTTCTACATTCAGAACTTTCCAGTCTTTGGTATGTAGAATTGGGTTGCGTCGCATTGTCATTATGTGCTCTGGCTCTATTATGGACGAAGGTGACCACAACCGGGGGCAGGGTTTGACTGGAACCTTGATCCAATCTACCGCAACCAAATTGGCGCCAGGGTAGATCTCTCCGATATTTTCGATCGCTGTTTTATATAGCTCGGCTGATCTCCTATCTTCGCAGGCGATAACCTTAACGGACCCCCAATACCAGCCGACGGCATTGCAGACAGGAGGTGGACCCGGGTCCGTCTCCAGTAGCTCAATACAGCGTATGGCCAATGCCGCTTCCACCCACTTCCATTGATGCCTGGGCACTCTTTGTTCCCGATTGCCGTAGTCTAGAACTCCGATTAGGATCATCTCCGTGGCAATCTGTGCGATTTCTGGTTTAACGCGCGATCTTTTTCCGTAGCGCCCGTAAGTTTCACTGGAACGCTTCCTCTTTAATTGCCTCTGCGTGCTTGATGGTTTTTCGCTGAAGCTTTGGTGCACACTCCGGGCCCATTTAATTTTTTTCAGCCAGTCTGCTGATTGATTGGCCGTTCTGCACGCGTTCTGCCAAAGAAGGATATGCTCTGCGCTCTTTTTCTCCCAATATGTACATATCTTTGCCGCAGTCTCGTTCCTTAGCGCCCCAGTATCATACGGTGGCACAGCAGTACATGTATTGCTCTGTCGGTTTTCCCAAATGAGAGGAGGCGTTTGGGTAGCCCTATCGACCCCGATGCCCAACTGCGGTGTGCATTGACAAGACTGGTTTTGTTGAGTGAGTGGGATTCAGAATTTCCATAAATATTTCGGAAATCTTTTCGTTTTCATTTTTAATTGTAAGATTTTGTGTCATTTTCGTCCCACGAGTCGCGGAGAATTGTAGGTCCGCCTGCACAGAGATCCGCTATATGCAGGTAAGGCTAAAACAGACCGGAGGGCGCCAGGTATCCGGACGCTCCGTTCGAGACTGGGCTAGTTATTTAAAAGGGCCCCCAGCCAGGCTGACTTTCGGCACGGGTCGCATAACACCTTAGCCCAGCCCTTTACCTCAAACCATGACTAGAGCCCTCTGATACGCATTAAAACTGTAAAGGCGCTTTACTGCATGCCAGAGAACTCCATCTTAGCTGACACCGGCTCTAAACTAGAACCTCTGCGGTGTCATTACCAGTCGGCACCCTCGTGGAGGGTTCAGTCGAGGATTTTTGCCAACCTTTGACAAAGGAGAAAAGAATAACATTTTATCATATCAATAAGTGGTTCGAGTGTGTAGTCGCAGGGTCGCTCACAACAATACTGGGCTATGGGCTATTCAATGTAATTTTTCTTTTTTTTTTTTAGATAGTATAAACTACAAAGAAGGCTACACATAATTACGAGACATCTGTAGAATTGTTATTGCCGATTGCATTTGAGCTATTTACAAAAAATGACTGTCTCTGGGCTCGGGGTATTGAATCATACTGAAACACCAGAGGCACAATATCACGTAGCAGAGTCACAGAGCAACAAATTCGTCATAAAACGAGTTTTGTGTGATTAAAATTCGTTATCAAAATGTATGAGTTGTGGTTGTAATCAGTTTCAGAAACGACTGTGCTCAATTAATCGGGCAATCGGTTGGGTATTTTTTTTTTTTTTATGTGTATCGTTTCTGTGCTTACAGGAGGGTGGCTAACCCACCTGTGCGATTATGTTTCAGGTGTTCATGTTTAAGCAGATAAGGAGCTTCAATAATAAGTTGGGTCAGGTGGTGGTGTCCAGGTGTTAAAAAAAAAAAATTTATATATATATATCTTGATACCTTAAAAGCAGTTTCAGCTGCAAATATTCACAAAACTCGAACAGCGGCTCACAATGGAATACGGGGCGGGGCGTAAAATGTTTACGAGTCCTGAAATAAATAATGTCGCTTATTTATTAAACGGTTGATTTCTATTCAACGAATTTCACCTAAAAGTAAGAAACACTAGAAAGTAAAAGACTTTGCAACCTATCATTAATTTGCGGACCTATCAACAAACTAGCATATCATATCTCGATAGCATATCTCTCGCATATCTCTTTCGCGCTTTTACTGTCTGTGTCCCAAGTCATTAGACATTTTATGATGCTGTTGACCATTTATCTTGCCTGTTGAAAATGTTTCCGTTTGCAAACTTTTCTCGTATTTCACTTTTTTTTCTTTCTACCTGTCACGGCTGAGGGGCTGCCGTTAATGACTTGTCCAAAAAAAAAAAAAAAAACGCAAATTCATTGCAGTTTCATTTTGATGCTCTGCACTTTGTAAATAGTTAAAATGGGTATATTGGTTTTGTGGCAGGCAGAAGTAAGTTTCTGCAAAACCATAAAGTAAACATATTCCTGGACAGCATGAAGAGTGGCATCGATTTAACCATATCTCTGTCTGTCTGTTTGATTGTGTATAAACACTTTAACCATATCTCTGTCTGTCTGTTTGATCGTATTTATAAATGCTTCAACTGCAGATTCTATAACACTTGGCGAATTGAAACTTTATCGTAGGTCTTGTGTCGGAATATCACAATAAATTACAATGAAATCAACAAAAATCGATATTGAAATCCTGTTCAATAAGAACATATTTCGGAGCTGATATCAAATTTCGTACGTTTATCTCTCGCCTAGTATATACAGATGCATAATATTTTAATTTTTGGATACATGTTCAAGATTAAAAAAAGAACACTTATTTTTAGAAGTATTCATCGAGTTAGTTCATTAAGATCCGACAATAAGCACCGAGGAAATGCGTAATATTTTTGTCCAGACTGAGAATGTTTCTGACGCTCGACACTGGGTTCAGGGAATCTTCTAGTCGAACACTCTCCGCTAAAGCACTCTTGCTTGTTTTTATATATTTAATTTTTTTTTTTTTTTTTTTGAAATTAGACACTAATTATGATATTATTCACTTATCTGCTAGACACTCTACCCTAATGTTTTATGATGCTGATTCATACAAACTGCGTGCCAGGGCAGCTGCGCCTTTTATCTTTCGCATTGCAGGCGTCTTTCGACCTACCATATCACCCAAGATATCTACAGCATTTAAATATTTAAGTACATGTTAAAAAGTAAATGCCACTTGACAGTCAGTTTAAATTATTCTCTATCTAGATTGGTTTTAGACACTGTGCATCAGCCGAACCAATATGCTTAGTGTAATTGATAAGCGGGGGCTTGTAATTAAAAAGCAATTGCAAACTCATCAACGAAATACACGGAAAGCATTTCATAACAGCAATAAATGCACAGATTGTCATATCTTTTAGATTTGAGTTATCAGTGCGATATTACAATTAAATTCTGTGTGTGTTGGCAGGGAATTTCGTCGAATAGGACACCTTATCTTAACCAACAGAAACAAAAGTATTGCGAAATTTTTTTGTGGGCCCCCCGGGCTGAATCACAGATACGTTAGATACCCTTAACTTTAACCTCGTCTATTTGACTTGCCGAAGAAAAAGAGTTGAACAATCAATATATTTTGTAACGTCAGTTTGTATGAGTAAGATATACACAGGGACAAACGGACATGGATAGATCGAGTCGGCTTTTAAGTTGAATAGGTCATAGAAGCTTATTTCTGCCTGCGACATACACTTGCACCCATTTGCTATGGGTACGGAGATAAACCTGTTCTGAGTATATCATTCCAGAATATATATTTCAAAAATATATTTTTCTCTTTAAGCCGATTTCCACGTCTTAATAGAGATGCTAGATAGATGCGTCCCAATCATTTTTCCTAACCTTCTGGTTCTATCTATTAGATCGGATTGCCTCTTTGGCAGCTAAATGGTTTTTGTTCACACTACACCTATGCTTAAAAAAATGCATAAAAAATGCTAATTTAACTTATCTTAAAGTTGAACTGTCATTTGCGAGGCTCCGGTTTTGGTAGGTCTTGGCTGCAGATGTCCTTCTCCACGTTTGTCGGTGCGTCTTTAGGTGATTAATCAATTAAGATTTAGTTAGCGTTTTTTACTTTTCGATGTTTTGGCCTCGAAAACGCCACACTAATTAATGTAGATTATAACGATAATTATGCACAATTGGCATTTGTATTGTTTTAAATAAATTGTTTGTTATACTTTGTCTCTTACCACTGGTGGGGGAAAACGAAAGTAATTTAATTTGTTATTATTTGGTTTATCTCTGTGTCTCTTACCACTGGTGGGGGAAAAGGACAGAGTACCAATCTCTTTTGTTGAATTCAAAATATGAACTGATTTAATTTCTTCAAATCGACGTCTTATATAGCAGACAATTATGCGTTATTCTCGACTCCCTGCTGTGTTTTGCGTAAGCAACTCAAAGGACTTTCTTTACACAACTGTTTTCATTTTTTTTTTTTTTGGGATAGCTGGCAAGTTATCTTATGTTTAATAATTTCGCGTGGTTTCCTTATGCATGTTGCCGATTGATTAAAAAGTTGTTAAATTTTTAAAAATTCGTTACATTTTCTTTCAAATTTGTTAAAAGTTATAAAATTAGTTTTAGTTATGCATTTCCTTAAATGTCTATGCACAATATTTCATCGAAAGCATAGATGCGAACCTTGTTTCAATATACTGTGCACACATTTCGGCTTATAGGGTATATTGACGAAGCGCAATAGAATTTGACGTAGTTGCATTTATTTTTGTGGCTCTCTCGAGCTGTCAAAGCCAGCCGCTCTCCCTTATCACTCTTAACAGCATTGACGTTAGCTAATTCCGCGAAAACCAAATTCAATATTTGGCTTGAGGCCTGACCTAGCTAACAGTTAACATTTTATGAAGTTAGGATAAATATCCTAGCCAAAGGCCTGTTTTACATAGCGTGTTATAGAGATGTTATTATTCCTATAGTCCGAAAATGTTTAAAAAGTGTAAAAATTATATATATATATTCTTGCTTAGCCTCTTTGCTGTTGCCAGACACATTTATGTATGTCCAGGGTAGCTACATGTTGGACACTCCCGACTAGAGCACTCTGCCTTTTTTTGTTGGTTTTTTTTTTTGCTACAATGCATTTACGTAATTTACCTTTCGTTTGAACTAGTAGCAGCTCATACCCAAGGTTCCTTGCTGATATCCCTGGCTTGACGACCGTTGCCTTTATTTTTGTGCTTATTTTGACCAGATTCACATGCGCTCTCTTACCAAACCAGCCTACTATTCTCCTTTGACGTCTTTTCGTGGCTGTTTTGTTAACGCTTTAACATTGCAGCCAACGCTTTGTTGCTATTTTAAACACCTGCAACAATTAACACAACTAAAAAAAGGTCGTTTACTGCTTGAACTACAACAAATTGAGTAACAGCTTGAACTTTTCTTGCGCAAACTTTGCAGTTCTTGCATAAACAACATCGAGCTATGTATTAAATTATCTTGGCCAAATCTGCTGACCAAACAAGGTACAGCTAAGAGCTACGTGCTAGCCAAGTTCAATGTTTGGCTTTAGGCCTGACCTAGCTAACTTTTGGCTTGCCTGTTTATTGCGATTATATTAAAGCAAGCAAAGTATAAAAATAATGATGTATATTTAACTGCATGTTATGACAAATCGAATTACAAAAGAAAAACTTTATTAACTTTAATCGCGCAACTCGTGTTGCCATGCATAATACCCAAAAAAAAAAAAACGGGTAATAAAAGTTATAAGACTAGTTTATTTGCTTTCAAACGCATTTATACGCTGTATAAATTTTAGATTTTTCAAATAACAATGACAGAGTCTTATAATCAATGTTAAAGAAAATGTAAAGGCTTACATTTTACCTTGTTTTATATATATTAAAACTAAGAAGAAATATCTTATATAAATTTGGAACTTTATAGTTGCTTCACATTGTTTGCGAGAGTTAAAAGCTATTTTCGTGGAGTTTTTTTGAAATCTTGTACAAATTCATCCAGAATAGTTATTATTATTCCTGATAATATAAAATTATATTATCGCAGCTACAATTAATCTTCTTTTGAAAAAATCGAGTACGATGTTTAATATTTATAGAAATAAAAAAAAATATAAAAATAGTTGAGATATCTTAATGTGACCTCTAGTATAACCTATACTGGTCAGTCGATAATACTGACTCGTCGTCGCCGTCTACGGCGCATTAGTTCATTGTAATTCTAATGATAGACATTTTATGCATTACTTATAATCTACTGCGGTTCTTTGTATTTGAG